ATGAAAAAGATGTTGAGACCGTACAAAGAGTGCAGAGAAGAGCAACAAAGATGATAAGGGGTCTGGAGGCTAAACCATCCGATGAATGGTCGAGGGAACTAGGTATGTCTAGTCTAACAAAGAGAAGGATTAAGGGTGATATGATAGCAGCCTTCCAGTACTTGAGGGACTGTCACAGAGAAGAGGGCAGGACAAGAAGTAACAGCTGGAAGATCATGCAGATCCAACTTAGAACTAAGGAGACAGTGAGAATGATTAATCAGTGGAACAGCTTGCCTCCAGAAGTTGTGGTGCTCCATCACTGGAGGTTTTCAAGAAGAGACTGGACAGCCATTTGACCAGGATGGAATAAGGACTCCTGCCTTAGGCAAGGGGTTGGACTAGAAGACCTCCAAGGTCCCTTCCAGCCCTGTGAGTCTATGATTTTATGAAATGGCTATAGGGTATAGGATTTCCTGCTTGAGCAAGGGGTTGGACTAGAAGACCTCCAAGGTTCCTTTCAACCTTATTTCTCTATGTTCTATTCCTATTCCTATTCTATTCTGCTCTCCTGATGTTTTTAGCACCATGATACTCAGAACCGCACATGAGAATTCAGGGATTGATATTCCTGACACATCTGGAAGATACCGGATGAAGGAAAGCCACTGTAAATGTTTCTCTATAGCCTGGAATCAGCTGGAACCTAAACTTAATCAACATGCAACTTGGCCACCTTCAAAGCAACCACTTTTTCCTCATAAACAACCTCTTTTGGATTTCAGTATCTAAACAAAGATATTACACCTAACAGTGCGAATAATTACAAGAAGAAACAGGCAAACTTCAGCTGAAGTCATCCTCAACAACTCTTTAAATCCTGGATCATTACAATGCAGGCTGGGAATTTGTGAAGTTTATTGAACTTGTTTTGTCAGCATTTGGTGAAAACCTGCCAATGGTTCAAGGTTTTGAACTTTGTGTGCATGTTTCTGCATAAAACAACTTGTCAAAAGGGCAAGTGGCATCTTTTTGAAAATGCTCCTTCAGCAAATAACATGCGACTTGAAAACTGAGCTGCAACGGAAAACTAGTTTTATAGTCCGAAACTGAAATTTTGTCTTTATTGCCCAATCAAGCAAAATGAGATTTTTGCATTACAGGACCTCCAAGGTCCCTTCCAACTGTTATTCTGCTATTCTTTTTTTTTCCTTCCTTCCTTCCTTCCTTCCTTCCTTCCTTCCTTCCTTCCCTCCCTCTCCCTCCTCCATCACTGGAGGCTTTCAAGAAGAGACTGGACAGCCACTTGTCTGAAATGATATAGGGCAGTGGTTCTCAACCTTTTTAATGCCGCAACCCCCAACCGGTCGTAAGTCGAGTACTAAACCGGTCGTAAGTTGAGTACTAAACCGGTCGTAAGTCGAGGACTAAACCAGTCATAAGTCGAGGACTACCCAACCGGTCGTAAGTCGAGGACTTTCCCTGCCCGGGAGCGCTGCGCATGCGTGGTTCCGCCCCCTGCGCCGGCCGAGACGTAGCTGGCAAGCAGCAGAGACGGAGCAGGCCGACCACCAGCTGGCCCAGCCCAAGGGAGGTAAGGCACCCGCCGGAAAAGGGGGAAAAAATGGCAGACAGCCTTGCTTGGCGACCCCCGTGAAATGGTCGATCGACCCCAAATGGGGTCGCGACCCATAGGTTGAGAACCACTGATATAGGGTCTCCTGCTTGAGCAGGGGGTTGGACTAGAAGACCTCCAAGGACCCTCCAACTTTGTTCTTCTGTTAGTTGATCAATGACAAACGATGCCATCTTGATGTGACGACCCCCCCCCCTCCATTTTTCCCTAATCTCTCCAGCAGGGCAGGTGGGGAGGGGGAGGGGAGGGCCTCCAGCAAAGCCTCACCCAAGAGGTGCCCCTGCTCTATTTCCTATGAACGGGGGGGGGGGGAGACGCTTTCGGAAGCAGGAGCAGCTAATCAACCCGACTGCGGGACCGGGAGGAAATCGTCCAAGGGGAACCTGCCTCATTGAGGGCGCAAAGGGCCGCTTCTCCTGCAGGAAAGCGCCTCCACCGGGAAAAGGGATCCGGCGGCTGCGTCCAGAGCCCAGCTGGGCGCCCCGAATGGCCCTGGCCGGCGGCGGGCGGCGGTCTCCGGTCTCCTGGAAGCCGCCCGGCCCCGCCGGCTGCCTCCCTGCCTCCCTCCGCCCGAAGCCTCCCCGAGAGGAGCCGGCCGAGGAAGCGCGGGGCGCCTCCTCCTGCGCGGGCCGAGGCTCCGCCGCCCTCCGCCACCCACGTACCGCTCCGAAGCGCGCCCAGCAGCAGCAGCAAAGCCGGCCCGGTCCTCCCGCCGCCCGCGCAGACCATGGTCCGAGGCGGAGGCGCCGCAACCGAAGCCCGCGCGCCCCGGCCGACCCCAGCCGCTCCGGCGGGCGCTCCCTAGGCGCAGGCGCGCCGCCGCCGCCACGNCCCCCTGCGCCGGCCGAGGCGTAGCTGGCAAGCGGCAGAGACGGAGCAGGCCGACCACCAGCTGGCCCAGCCCAAGGGAGGTAAGGCACCCGCCGGAAAAGGGGGAAAAAATAGCGGACAAAAAAAATGGCGGACAAAAAAATGGCAGACAGCCTTGCTTGACGACCCCCGTGAAATGGTCGATCGACCCCAAATGGGGTCCCGACCCACAGGTTGAGAACCACTGGGTTAAATCAATCGCTGCAGTTAAGAACAGAGTTGTTCAACAGATCTGGCTTCCCCGTTGACTTTGATTGTCAGAAGGTCACAAAAGGGGATCACATCTCCCAGGATGCTGCAACCGTCATAAATAGGAATCAGTTGCCGAGTGTCCGAATGTTGATCTTTTGGCCATGGTCGTAAGAAGGAAAAAATGGTCATCAGTCCCTTTTTTTCAGTGCCGTTGAAACTTTGAATGGTCACTAAATGAACTGTCGTAAGTCGAGAACTGCCTGTATATCACTTTGTTGTTTATATGTATGCTGAGAGCTTCTGCACCACCAGAGATACATTCCTTGTGTGTCCAACCACGCTCGGCCAATAAAGAATTATTCTGTTCTGTTTGGAAATGAAGCCTCTGGCTGGAGGGTCAGGCTGGGCAGAAGGTGAGCATGGGAGCCAGGCTGGCTGGGGCTGAGCCCCGCACCCGTGCCCCCTTGCCCGGGCAGGGGGCCAGTCCCCGCTTCCTCCTTTATTTAGCAATCAGCTCCGCAAAGTTCGGTTACATCAGGGGTAGGCAACCTTAGCTCTTTTATGACTCCTGGACTTCAACTCCCAGAATTCCTGAGCCAGCCAGAATTCCTGGGAGTTGAAGTCCAGGAGTCATAAAAGAGCCAAGGTTGCCTACCCCTGGGTTAGATTTTCCTCTGCAATTTTATATCAGGTTTTCCATAGATGTTGAAATGGGGAAGTTCCCCAGAGAATCTGAGTCCAAACTGACCTAATTAGAATCATTAATCAGTGACCAAATGCAGGAAGGCTCTCTTGAGGTGCAGAGTTCAATCCCAGAGTGAGAAGATCATCTGGAGGCTTTTCTCTTGCTTCAAGATAATAATTTTCAGAAAATGAAAAAAGTAGGCAGAAAAGTCTTTTTTTGCAATAGTGGGGAATATCTGTCTTTTTTCCTGAAGCATTAAACAATTCTGCCCATGGTATACAAAACATATGCTGGAAGGCATAGGAACCGTAATACGTATTTTTAGGATTAATGCTGTAGTTGTATGGACAAATTATTGTTGGTATAGAGTAATACGTAATAATGTACTATATGGTAAGTGGCTTGAATGCAATCAAGCAACTTGGAAAAGATAATTATGTTATTAATGTTATAGTATTACTGTTACCTGACTCTGCTGGTAGCAATGTTGATTTCTGCCAGAAGCATCAGTAGTTTGCAATTAGGATGGTGGTTCTGCAAATCCAGATGTTAGAAGGCAATTGCTGAAGAAGATATACCATGAAAGAGCAGAAACCTGGATTTCATCCATATTCCTGCTTTTCTAGATGACTGTAGCAATTGCAAAAGACAAAGAATTGACTTGTTCTGGTTATATTGAGGGTTTTTTAAATTGTATCCCATGGCGTTCTAGAGTTTTGCAAAAACTATAGGTTTCATTAGGGGCTAAGGGCAAAACAGCAACAAGCAACACACACACACACACAAATCCTTGAATACAGCACATTTTCTGTCATTAGGCCCTTGTTTCTTGATCAGGGATTCCCCAGCCTGAAAAGTTTGAAAACCCCACGACCACCTATCTCTTGTTTGGCCCATCCCCCTTGGCCTTTAAAACAACCTCACAGGCTCCAGCTAAGAATCTGACCCTCCTGCCCAGGAAGACATCCAAGTTTTCAGGCTCCAGAAGAATCATTATGGTCAGGGCGAAATGAATCTTGGGGGGATTGGTGTTCCAAAAAGCTGATGCCGGCACAGAAACAGCACACACTTTCTGTATCCAAAACTGCACACTCTTTCACCAATGGGACCCACAGCATGCCTCTCGTGATCAGTTCCCATAGCATCATTTCATTTTGTACCTTTGGTATTCTGATTACTTTTGTTGCATTTTTAATGTAGGCCAGCTTGAGTTTTTTCTAATTCCTTGTGTGTCCAATCACACCTGGCCAATAAAGAATATTCTATTCCGATTCTATTCCTATTCTATTCCTATTCTATTCCTATTCTATTCTATTCTATTCTATTCTATATTCTGTTCTATTCTGTTCTATATTCTGTTCTGTTCTGTTCTGTTCTATTCTATATTCTATTCTATTCTATTCATTTTCTATTCTATTCTATTCTATTCTACAATATATTCTATTCTATTCTATTCTATTCTATTCTATTCTATTCTATTCTATTCTATATTCTACTCTACTCCATTCCATTCCATATAATCTGGCAAAGAAATAAATGATCTGTGTGTAGAATTTTTAAGCAAAAACCAAAACCAAGCTGTATGGGAAAAAAGAACAAACCCTTTAAATTATTGTTTTTCCACCCCCAGACTGAAAATAAGGATCCAAATTACTGCGTGGAGAAATTGTTGCTCTTCAAGCAAAGCTAAACAACAACTGTTGCCCCCAGGTTTTCCTGTTTTGAAGCGCTGATCGTTGCAGCATGGCTTCTTCTAAGCCTATAGGCAAGTTCTGGGAATGGGGCAAGAACATCTTCTGTGTGGGGAGGAATTACGCAGCCCACGCCAAGGAGATGAAGAATGCCCTCCCCACCGAGCCGCTCTTCTTCCTGAAGCCCTCCTCGGCCTACGTCAGGGAAGGCAGCCCCATCATCCAGCCCTACTATTGTGAGACGCTGCACCACGAAGTGGAACTAGGCGTGGTGATTGGGAAGAGAGCCCAGGCCGTGCCTCAGGAAGCAGCCATGGGCCACGTGGCCGGCTATGCGCTTTGCCTGGACATGACAGCCAGGGACGTCCAGGAGGAGTGCAAGAAGAAGGGGCTCCCCTGGACTCTGGCCAAAGGATTCAGCACTTCCTGTCCAGTGAGTGACTTTGTGCCCAAGGAGAAAGTCCCAGATCCACATCAGTTGAAGATCTGGCTAAAGGTAAACGGAGAGTTGCGGCAAGAAGGGAACACATCTGGCATGATTTTCACCATTCCGTACATCATCAGCTACATCAGTGGCATCGTCGCCTTGGAAGAAGGGGACATCGTCTTAACGGGCTCCCCTGAAGGAGTTTCTGCTCTGCGAGAGAAGGATGAAATAGAAGCCGGGATTGAGGGGCTGCTGAGAATGCACTTTCAGGTAGCGCGGCAGAAAAGCCGCCCCTGATTTGTGGAAGTAGGTGATGATGATGATGATGAAAAGATGAAAAACACCTTGGGGACTTTTCTCCGGAAGAAAAAAGAGGGTTGATTGCTCCCACAAAAGGCCAGATTCCTTCCCACCCCCACCCCACCCCACCCTGAGGTTTTCAGAAGAAGCTTCATTGATTGCCTTTTCTCATATTTGATTTTTGATTTTGATTTTATTAAATTTATACCCCGCCCTTCTCCCGGAGGACTCAGGGCGGCTTACAGCCAGTTTAAAACAATGATACAATACAATACAAAATTTAAAAATGATTAAAAATAAATATTCATGTCCTCCTCTCTCACAGAGTGCCACCCACAGAGATCCCAACTATTGAGTAGCAGATACAGTGACTTTATGTGCACATAAGATAAACCAGAATGTAACAATATGTTGGCAAACATACACCAACTGCCTAGGCCAGGGGTAGGCAACCTTGGCTCTTTTATGACTCGTGGACTTCAACTCCCAGAATTCCTGAGCTAGCATTCTGGGAGTTGAAGTCCATGAGTCATAAAAGAGCCAAGGTTGCCTACCCCTGGCCTAGTTGGAGCAGTTAAACAGACCCTAATACAGGAGTCTTTTTTTGCTATGATGTGCAGATAAGATATCTGGGCTGTTTCCCTTTGGCAAGTTCAAGTTTAGAAGCTAGATTGGTTGTCCATTTCCTATTTTTGGCTTGTCTGGAAAAGGCCAGCCTGTAACTATAAATAAAAAAAGGCCTATATATATTTTTAAGACTGCAAAAACACTTTATATTCTATAGTTATAATGTACCTTCCTTAAAAACATCACCAAGTAATGAAGGAATTTTGTGCCAAATTATATTGTTTAAAAGTTATATTTTATATGGTAAGATTTAAGAAGCACTTTGAAATGAAGCCAAAATTTCTCTTTTTTGTTTCTGTGAATAAATGCCAGTTAGTTCATATTATTACTTGCTCATTGTCTATGAAACAAAATATAGTTAGGTACATTTTTGCAAGGCAGGTCATAGATTCCCTGTTGAAGACTTAAAGGGGGGAAATGGGAAAGTGCTGAGATAGGACCCTCCTTCATTACACGTAATAAATTCATGACTTGTACAACACATGAAGATGGTGCTTTTCTCCCAGTTGAAACTCTCGGCTATGAACCATCTCTCACTATGGAATGTCCTGAATGTTCTTCCTTCTGAGCTAATTTAAAATTAAGCATGTCGTGAGGAATATTGAAAACATATATTCCTTCCACATTATAATGGAAAACTAAATTAGAAAGTGAAACAAACTTTTCAAAGTCAGACACAATCTTGCCACCCTAATAAAGTTTATTTTACAAGTGTTTGCAATGGACCAGTTGTTTTGATGGTGCATAATGTAGTTATTTTCCTTTTTCGGGCAAGTTTTGGCAAGCCTCCACTGGATCTGCTAGCTTGCAAGAAAGCAGTTTCACTCTTAGCCCAGTTCGTGCTGTGGTAGAAAAAATAACCTATAGGAGGTAAAGGTACAAATCACCACAATTTTTAAAGATTTTCCCCTCTTTTTGCAACAAAAGAATAATACTAAACTTGAATTATACAATGGTTCTGTTTCGGCAACACGTTTAACCTGGTTAATTAATTAGCCTATTTTTCTGGTATATGCAATATACTGAACTGTAAGCTAGGACATTTGTTTCACATAAGATACAAAGCATCAAAATAATTAAAAAGATTAGCATGAGTAAATGGATCTGCTATGTTATTAATAGAACCGGTTAAGCATGCTGTAGGAATGTAAACATACTGTATACTTTCAAATAGGAGAGAAACAGTGAAGGGGATTTTTGCATTGTGTTTTTATTAACCCTCCCAGCTGTTTTTTTTTTTCTTTTAATCATGAAGTATTAATTTTTTCCATTAGTGAGATCACAGCTAAATTAGAGTACCGTAATATAAAGAGAAATTTCTACAGGTCTCAAAAAACTTCACTTGATGCTCCCCAATTCATTTTTTTTGTCAGCAACATCATGTCTAATTAAATTCATAAGATCATATAACAGAAGAACAGAGTTGGAAGGGATCTTAGAGGTCTTCTAGTCCAACCCTCTGCTCAAGCAGAAGACCCTATACCATTCTGGTCAAATGGCTATATCCAATCTCTTTTTAAAAACCTCCAGTGATGGAGCACCCATAACTTCTGAGGTAAGCCACTGATTAATTGTTCTCACTGTCAGGAAATTTCTCCTTATTTCTAGATTGATAGGCTGAATACTGTTATGTAGACTGTTTCATAAATAGTACTTATTAGAAACCCCCACTGATCCATTTGTATCTCCTAGATTTTTATACTGCTAGAGAATTTTGACAAAATATTTGAGCAGTTATAAACATGAATTTAGTAATTTGTAAAAATTCTGTATTACTGTGTTTTTTTTAGAAAAAAAATATTTTTTTAAGTCTGGATAGTGTGTTCCAAAATATTGTAGAAATATCTTTTTCTTGCAGATCAATTTTTCATTCAGTGGAAGAAACTGATCGTGGATTTTCAGATGTTGGTGGACTGGGTCAAGTCATGGGAAATAGTGGTATCTTTAAGGCTGTATTACTGTGTAATTATATTCATAAGATTGTGGAATCACAGCTGCCACTTCTTTAACTGATGTTGGTTTTCCTATGCATCAAAGCTCTTCCCAAGAACTTAGGACATGGGTGTCAAATGCGATCGCGTCACATGACGTATTGTGATGTGTTTTTTGCCTTTGTGGAGCTGGGGTGGGCGTGGCCTGCATGTGACGCATCCGGCCTATGGGCCACTAGGTTGACACTCCTCTTAGGATATCATGCAAATAATCTTTGACTTTGTTTAGTGACCGTTCAGACTTACAATGGCACTGACAAAAGTGGCTTATGACCATTTTTCACATGACCGTTGCAGCATTTCCACGGTCATGTGATCAAAATTTGGATGCTTGACAACAGGATCATATTTATGATGGTTGCAGTGTCCCAAGGTCATGTGATCTCCTTTTGCAACCTTCTGACAAGCAAAGTCAATGGGGAAGCCAGATTCACTCAATAACCATGTTATTAACAACTGTAGCGATTCACTTAACAACTATGGCAAGAAAGATTGTAAAACAGGGCAAAATCTAACTGTCTTGCTTGGCAACAGAAATTTTGGGCTCAATTGTGATCCTAAGTTGAGGATTACTTGTACTGGAACCTGATAATTTTTACAGATGTTCCAGTGAATCATTTTGGTTAACTGTGATGTTGTTTATAATCAGTTTGTGCAATCTTCTTGCATGAACTGAGTATATGATCTATTTCCTCTGCTTCTTTGCACAATCTGCACTTTATTCCATTATTATTACTATTATTACTATTATTATTATTACTATTATTATTACTATTACTATTACTATTATTATTATTATTATTATTATTATTATTATTATTATTATTATTATTATTATTAGATATATATAACATAGCAACAAACATCCTTAATATTCCTGCCTCCTGTTTCTTCACAACAACACGCATGAAGTGGATTGGGAGTGAATGGCTTTCACAGCTAAAGAAGGCCTAGAATTCAGTCTTCTAGAATTCAGTCTTCTAGTTTCTAGATCAGCATCTTAACCACTACACCAAACTGTCTCTTTTATAAAATTCTATCATGCTTTATTATTATTTATTATACTTACCTTAAAATAAATTTTGCTTCTCTCTAGAAGGAGTTGCCATTTTAATGTTGTCTTTTGTGTTTCTGTCAGAGCTTGAAATTCTTGGACCTAGTGAACACAATTCAGTTCATTAAAACTACACTTAGGTCTGCAATCAAACATAATTCAACAATAAGATGTTCCTGTCCAGAATGTGGTATAATGATCAGAAAGCTAAATTTTCTGCAGGGCAAATAACGCAGTAAATGCAATTTTCATAATTTGTCTGGCAAGAAAATACATCAAAATGAATCAAAATTATTAAAACATCTGTAATTATTACTTCACTATAAATGCGATCCCAGGAGTAAATTATTTATATCCAATTGATTGCTGTAGAATGCTCTTAATATATATTAGCTGTGAAGCAAAACTCTTAGTTTGCTTGTATCCTGCCTTTATCATTTTTAGAAATAACTTGAGGCGGGAACATATCCAAACCACCTTTCTCTTTTATTTTTCCCACAACAACAACCCAGCTGGCTTTTGTGGCTAAGGCAAGACTGGAATTCAGTCTCTGGCTTTCTAGCCTGGTGCCGTAACCATTAGGCCAGTGGTTCTCAACCTGTGGGTTGGGACCCCATTTGGGGTCGATCGACCATTTCATGGGGGTCGCCAAGCAAGGCTGTCTGCCATTTTTTTTGTCCGCCATTTTTTCCCCTTTTCCGGCGGGTGCCTTACCTCCCTTGGGCTGGGCCAGCTGGTGGTTGGCCTGCTCCGTCTCTGCCACTTGCCAGCTACGCCTCGGCCGGCGCAGGGGGCGGAACCACGCATGCGCGGCGCTCCCGGGCAGGGAAAGTCCTCGACTTACAACCGGTTGGATAGTCCTCGACTTACGACCGGTTTAGTCCTTGACTTACGACCGGTTTAGTCCTCGACTTATGACCAGTTTAGTCCTCGACTTACGACCGGTTGGGGTCGCGGCATTAAAAAGGTTGAGAACCACTGCATTAGGCCAAACTGGCTCTAATGAAGTTTTTTGATATCAAACTTGTGATAACTAGTGATGCCCTTGATATCATAGGTGCTTAGTAAATTTAAGCTGGAATAGCTTTTAAGAGAATGGTGCCTACTTCATTAACTGCAGCAGATTTACTGTACAAGCATTTTGATATCTATAAATTCTGAATTGGCCCCAAACATTATTGATGAGAGTTTCCAGGAATTTTACTGGCACAACAAACCTAAAAGAATAAATTCAAGTAGTAGCAAACTATTTCCTATGTTCTTACCGTGTGACCTAAAGTTTCTTCAGCTATTATATCTGAGAGACTGCAAAAGTGAAGAGTTCCTGTATGGTCAGTTAGATGAACTAGTAAATCAAAGCTGGCAAACACTGGCACAGCGTCTGCATCTAAGGAGTTAGTGCTGCTACAAAAAGAGCATGTATTTGTCTTTTCATTGACAACATAGTGGCATTTAACACTACAAAGAAAAAAAGGAAACATATTAATAGGTATACAGTTGACTGATTTTCAAATGGATTTTTCTGTATTATAGCTCTTTTTTTCAGACTGATGAATGGAAAGCAGTTTGACAGTTGAATCCATAATCAATAATCTATTCAGTAGACTTCACTGAATAGATTAAAGCAGAAGCTGGGTAACCATCTGGCAGGCACGCTTTAATTAGGCTTACTGCTCTGAGCAGGGGGTTAGATTTCAGGGCCTAAAGCAGTGATGGCGAACCTTTTAGATACCGAGTGCCCAAACTGCAACTCCAAACCCACTTATGCATCGTCGGGTGCCAGGTGGGTGTGGCCCATTGGGTGGGTGTGGCCCATTGGGTGGGCGTGGCCGCAGTGATAACGGCAAACTGGGTGGGACTAAAATGTTCAATCAATCAATTCCAACTTTGCAAGATCTTTTTTTTTTCCCGCGAGAAGTTGAAATTGACTGATTGATTGAACCTTTTTTTTTTTGCACACGGTGGTGGAGGCCTAAAGCAAAAAGGTTTTATAAAACCCAGCTGAAGGCCTAGGACTGGGTGACGGCGCATGTGCCCACAGAGAGGGCTCTGAGTGCCGCCTCTGGCACCCGTGCCATAGGTTCGCCACCACTGGCCTAAAGAGTCCATTTCAAAGTACAAATTCAGTGGTTTTCCAGGCTAATTTGAAGTTGAGAAGAGAATAAATGTCCATAATGCTACTCAGTTTCCCTTAACGAGGTGCTTACCATCTGTTTCGTATTACTTTACTTGCTTCATTATCAATATTCAATGTAGAAATGTAGGCAAAAATAATGCCATAAAATGGTTCTGGTTTTCCTTCGTTTTGCAAAGTTTTCACCTTTAATTGTTCCACTGTATAAACATCAACTATTGTCTGCACTATAGATAACAAGAAGAAAAAAGCACATCTGAAAACAACAAAACTTGACTGGATTGATTCTAAAGTCTAAGACTCAAATATGAATAGTTCATTGTGCAAAGCCAGGTGGCTCTAAGGGCAGCATGATGTTATTGATTAGAGTTTTATCCTGCCTTTATTACTTCATAAGTAACTCAAGGCAGGGAACGTACATACATAGTACACCTTCCTCCTCCTATCTTCCCCACAACAACCACCTGCGACGTGGGTTGGGCTGAGAGAGAGGGATTGGTCTCAAATAAGCTGGCTTTCACGCCTAAGAAGGGAGTAGAACTCAGTCTCCTGCTTTCTAAATCATCACCTTAACCACTGCACAAAACTGACTCTAAATCAAAGGTCCCCGACCTTTTGGGCACCAGGGACCGGTTCCGTGGAGAGAGGTTTTTCCGCGGACCGGAGAGTGCGTAGTTTTGTGTGCTGCCTGCATCCCATGGAGGGGGCTTTGCTTGTTTGTGCGGACCGGTTTGCTGGCATGCCGCGACCCAGTACTGGTCCACGGACCGGGGGTTGGGGACCCCTGCTCTAAATGATCCCCAAATTCCTAAAATAAGTAAATAAAATTCCACGATTTATAATCCACAGTTGCTAGATTCATACATAATACTAAACCATAAACCAGTTATATTGTAGATTACCATGATGTATGATTTAGGAAACTTCCATACACTTCAGTGGATTTTGCAATCATTTCCTCATTTATGTATATAACCAGAATTGTTATTTTTATATAAATTTGGTTTTCCAGACTGGCTTAACCTTGCATTCATTCGACTATACTATAGTGGCTGAATAAGTCTCTGTGTTATTCTTCATTTCATTTTCCAAAGCGCCTGAAGGCAGGACAAGAAGCGATGGATGGAAATTAATCAAGGAGAGAAGCAACCTAGAACTAAGGAGAAACTTCCTGACAGTCAGAATAATTAACCAGTGGAACTACCTGCCTCTAGAAGCTGTGGATGCTCCAACACTGGAAGTTTTTAAGAAGAGACTGGACAGCCATTTGTCTGAAATGGTATAGGGTTTCCTGCCTGAGCAGGGGGTTGGACTAGATGTCCCTTCCAACTTTATTATTATTATTATTATTATTAAGTATGATTTATGATTTTTTTCATAAATAGATAAGATCATTGTTTTAGGTTATACTCAAGCAAAGTTCCAATCAGGTATAAGGAGCAGCTATTCTTTAAAAGACGGAAGTGACAACTAAGATTTCAATCAGGTTTAAAAAAAAATATTTAAAAGACCACTCACAATTTATGGACTCCCTGATCTGATCTCTCATTTCATCATCCAAGTCTAACATTTCTGGACTTTGTCTTATAAAGTTGAATAAAATATTGGCTTCTGCTGTATCTTGAAAAGAATATTTTTCAATATAATATTAATACAAGTAAATATGTGCAATGCCATAACATATCATGAGGATTTTAGATGAAAGTTTTGTAAATGGGGTTCTACAGATGATTGGGGAGCAGAGCCATTATAACTTCAAACTGGCCCTATAGAGAAACAATAAGACTTGAGCAGGGGATCTCTACCAAATTTGCTTTCCTTGAAAAAATTAAGAGTTGGAGGTTCAACCCTTGTATAATATATGCATTGCTAAAAATTGTTTATGATATATTATTTATACTTATAATTTTATTTCAGATCCAAACCACTGATTTTAAATTCCCAACCTTCTATTCATTAAAATGAATAGAATAAGCATTTATGATATTTTAAACAGAATTTAAGAACTATTTCTTACCAGGGTTAATAGTAATGATGGTCTTTGAGATTACAGTTGCAATCATACAGTTTCTAAATTTGTCAAAATTTATTCTTATATCAGATGCAAATATTACTGAGAAAGAAAATACAATGTGTTTTGTTATTCCAGGCAAACTTTAGATATCTTAAACAAAAATCTACTGTACATGAAAATGAAAAAAAAATATGATACCTGTTTCTTGGGGTACCCAGCTCTGAGCAAACTGAATAGATTCATTGTCCCAGCTGGAGAAGACAATAGCATTATATTAATATAAATAAATGCTTATTTATTTAAAATGTTTGATTGTATATTATTAGGGAAGTATTCCGATATTAAAAGCATAGAAGTATATACTAATACTGTAAATAAAACTAGTAAATAAAAAACAAAAAATAAAGCAAATACTTGATCAGATGTTTCTCTGTTACCTCCCTTCCTAAAAATTACACAGTCAGGAACTATCCTACTAAATGAATTCCAGAGCAAATGGAAAGATCTTTTATCTTCACATATGCATCTGGCATGTGAAGATTTCATTACTCAATAATTAGAAGATTTCATATGGGAAGACACATCCAGACGGGTTAGATTTAAGAGGTTCAAACTATTAGGGCTGCACAGCATTTTAGATATGATTTTAAAAATATGTTCCTGAACATATGGAAGGCATGAATATAGTACTTATATGCATCTGTTTCAAACAATCATAGGCAGGTGATGTGTTCATGTCTCCATATGCTCTGAAGCCCTTTTTTGGAATTGAATCTTAAGTTCTGCATAGCCTTCAAAAACACAGAAGGCATAAGGATAGTGAACTATCAGCCAAATACAGGTAGTCCTCGACTTACTACAGTTCATTTAGTGACTGATGAAAGTTACAACGGCACTGAAACAAGTGACTTATGACCATTTTTCAGTTTCAATCTTTAAAGCATCCCCATGGTCATGTGATCAAAACTTGGATGCTTGTTAACTGGTTCATATTTATGACCATTGCTGTGTCCCAAGGTCACGTGATCACCTCTTGCGACTTTCTGACAAGCAAAGTCAATGGGGAAGCCAAATTCACTTAACAACCAGGTTACTAACTTATCAACTGCAGCGATTACTTAACAAGTGTGGCAAGAAAGGTCATAAAATGGGGCAAACTTCACTTAACAAATGTCTCACTTAGCAACATAAATTTTGGGCTCAGTTGTGGTTGTAAGTTGAGGACAAGCTGTACATTTGAAGACTGTAGTAATTAGTCATATTAACAGCATAGAACACACATGTTCTTTGTCTTCCCAGGCTGCATCTTTAGGTCACATCTTCCTAAAATGTTTAATCTCAGTTATCTACAGGGCTTTTTTTGTCATACAGTAGAACGCCCAGAACGGAGTTCCGGCACCTTTTTTGGATGGAACCTTGTAGGGTAGGCAAGGCAGGTTGTATGACGTGTGTGAGTTCCGGCACCTTTTTTTTTTTTTTTTTTTTAGAAAAAAAGCACTGGTTATCTATATTGTAAGCCCTGGTAGATAGAACAAACCAGGAAATCAACTCTACAGGAGAAATAGGAATAGGATCATAGGGCTGGAAGGGACCTTGGAGATCCTCTAGGTCAGTGTTTCTCAACCTTGACAATTTTAAGGCATGTGGACTTCAACTCCCAGAATTCCACAGCCAGCAATGCTGGGAGTTGAAGTCCACATGCCTTAAAATTGTCACGGTTGAGAAACACTGCTCTAGGTCAACCCTCTGCTCAAGGCAGGAATCCTTATTCCATCTTGGACAAATGGTTGTCTGGTCTCTTCTTAAAAATCTCCAGCAATGGAGCATCCACAACTCAGGGAGTCAAACTGTTCCACTGACTAATTGTGGATTATAGTTGCTTTTATTGAGAGGGCCTATTACAGAACATTGCAGGTCTGATGGTGCTGTATCTCCTCCACCCCTTCTTATTCTCCAGTGAATCAGGGAGGCATCTATCTGAGCCACTTCTGAATGTTACCGCTTTTCTCAGGACTACAACTCCCTCTGTCTTGCTAACATTTCTTGCACATTTCCATCAAGGTAATTTTCCTTACTTTTTATACTCATATGCGGACAATAGAATTAAAAAACTTATTTTTTCACATTCAAAAGCCTGTTACAGATGCAGCAACCTCCCTTTCTCTCTGGAGAGTTTTGGATGCAGAACTTTTCCTGATGGATTAACAAAAACGAAAGGTGGTTCTATATTCAAAGCTCCGAGAACCTTATGCCTTAATGAATCCTGTATTTCACAAAGGTCACACAATTAACTGGCTTCAGTTGGTGATCATTGTATGCATTTATATCCGTTGTTGCTTCACATTTTTGTATTCATTGTGTGGGAAGTCAGCCCCCCAGAGAAGGAAATATTAAAAGGGCAGAAAAATATATTTCCTCAAGGGATCTTAAAGAGGCAGAAAAACATGCCCAGTTTTCTTAATAGCCCCAAGTCTCCCTCCCCCAAGCAGAAACCAGCTCTGTAGAAATGCAGATGTAAACCATTCAGGAAGGTTGAAGCTAGAAGATTAAGAAGACAAAGACACCTAAAATCTACATACCCCAACTCTAAGACAGGACATAATAGGATTAACCCACAGATGCCAGAGGGCACACTCAGACTCAGGTCAAAGTTCATGCCACAGGAACAACTCCAAACAAAAGGCTCCAGAGGGTATAAAAACCCACTCCCTACATGTGCTCTCTCTCTCTTTTCTTCCAGAGCCATCTTTCTGCCTGGCTCTCCTCTTCAATAAACTGCAACCTTCTTTCTAAAGCAGTCGCCAAGTTGTTTATTCCTGGCTTGGACTGAACCATGATGAAGACTTTTCCTTCAACAATTGGTATAGCTGAATTATGGCTTCAACCAGCGCTTACCATATCATTGTAAAGGAAGACTCGCTATCATCGTATAACCTTACTTCACATCTGTGGCCTTTACGCCTGTCTGAAGTAGAAAAATATTTTGGTTCACCAACCTTTGTAAAGGAGAAAAAGAAAAAGAAAAGCTGATCTTGATCTTAATATTCCATGTATATCTGTTTTGTTAAATAGAAATTGTTCTCATATTCATGTTTCCACTATTCACACCTAAACCCATTTCAGCAAGAATTAAGCTATAGAAGCACTGGTTATAATTGCAGTGTGTGGGTGGATAAATGTATAGTATATTCTTCTCAGAAAGTCACACATTTCTGAGAACAAATTATCAAATTGTGGAACAGGAAATGAAGTATTCTTGTTTCACTTTGTCACTTATAAAACAATTAGAATTCCTATGGAATTCGTTAGCAATTCTTACTACTAAATAGTCATTCTTATTACTAAGAAGTATTAATGGTTAACTTGCTGGCTTGATACCATCATAGTTGATGCAAAGATGAACATCCAACATCTGAAAAGAAGCTGTGTTTGACAAGATAGCATGGAGAGCCCTTGCCTATAAAGTTGCCAAGAGTTGGACATGACTGAACGGTTAAAACTACTACTATTAATGGTTAGCAGCCAGTTAAAGCTTTGGGAGGGAAGAGCTGCATATTTTAAGTAAAACAAGGTTTTCTCATATATGGTAGGTAATGTCCCATTATTCTCTCTCTCTCTCTCTCTCTCTCTCTCTCTCTCTCTCTCTCTCTCTCTCTCTCTCTCTCTCTCTCTCTCTCTCTCTCTCTCTCTCTCAACACACACACATATATAAAGGTTCTTTACTTTTTTTCATCCACCAAAGTCCAGCTGAAGGAAAGTTTAAACTCAGTAAATGAAGGCAGGAATAGTTTAGAAATTATTTCTCCCTCTCTCCAATGTTTCTTTCTCCTCTATTGCAGATTTAGGGATACCCACAAGCTGCTAAAATTCATTCTTAAATACTTAGGCCTATGAATATGAACATAAAAAGCTTATATACATTATAAGAAGTCAGTCGCCTTGTCTAATATTGCAAGTGCCTCGTATCTCCCTAAGACCTAATTCCTTTTCAGTGAACATTTCAGGTATGGGTTGCCACCAATGCTACAGATTTCCTCACAGTTAGATTTAGATTTCAAGGGTAACTGTGTATGAGAATCACTACAGCATTTAATAGGAGCTTATGTATTTTTTGCTGGTTTCAATATGGTTTGTGCAGAAGAGTTTACATGGATTATGTAGGAAAGGGAGGATAAAGGTACAAGGGTGAGATTCAACTTAATTTGAATATTGCATTTAGCATTAATTCTTAACCTCATGATTACTAATTAACCTATGCAGACATTTTAAAAGACTTTAAATAAACTTTTAGTACCTTACTGAGGCTGCATCTTAAATCCATGACGGTTTTATAGAATATTGTTTATAAAATATTTGATTGATGTTATTCGTTAACCTTTCTTAGTGCTAAATCAAGCAAAGGGATGCTGAGCATCACATAAGGTCCTACTCTCAGCACTTCTATAACCCAGTAAATATTTATACTGAAATCAATTTCATTTTTAGGCTATAATGTGATCTCTCTTTGATTTGTTACAATTGGCATGACTTACTGATTTAATAGCAGCAAGAACATTAATTATTTTTCCATCCAGGCTTTGTCCATTGGCCACAATATCCCCCAGTGAGTAAAAATCTTGAGAGTTCTTTACAGGTAAATGTAACAGAGACAGCAGTCTGGTGTCTGCTTCATAGATTCTGACCGCAGAGTGATTCTCACTGAGCAATAGTTTGTAACTGCTGACAAGTGGGCACAGAACATTTTACAACTTGTAAATACATATGTAGTCCAAACTACTGGTTGCATCAAACTTTTTATATTTGAACACAGTATGAGTGACAGATTAAATCATTACAAATAGCAATTCTCAATTACTTTCCTGACATCTAAATTTCTTCTGACTTATTCAAACCTAAAAAATTTACTGGAAGCAGATTGTCCTTTATACTGTAGTTAAGCTTTGTAACAAGGTCAGTCTATCATATACATAAAAATTTCATCAGAATTTTCACAGCTGCATGAGGATCTTTTAGAAGTACTGCTACCCATTGTAGTTACCAACTGATAGACTGCAGGAGATCCTATGTCATTTCAGACAAATGATTGCCCTATCTCATCTTGAAAACCTCCAGTGATGGAGCACCCACAACTTCTGTAGACAACCCATTCCGCTTGCCATTAATTATTCTCACTATCAGAAAATTTCTCCTTAATTCTAGTCTGGATCTCTCTTTAATATTGTTCTACCCTTTATTCTGTGTCCTGCCCTCAAGTGCTTTGGAGAATAGGTTGACCTCCTTTGGCTATATTTTATGTCTATTTTCTGGATATGAAATAAAATGAAACTATACTATTTTTGGATATGGATAAAAGATGAATATAGGTAAGTGCACTATTCAAGATTTTGTCTTATGTATGACAGGTTTTACTCACAATGCTTTGTAGGAAAAATGCTTCTACGACATTTTACTGCAGAAAATGTTGTAAAAAAGGTCTCTGTAGATTGATTTGGATATTAATTGCATTACTCCAATAAACCAGAAGCCAAAATAATTATACTGTACTACTGCCTGTTATGATATATGCAGTATTCATGTAGAATATTTTCCCTAGCTTTGTGCAGTAATTATCATCTGCATCTTCTGATAACAATAATCTAATTATTCCAACCACATTAATTCCATTTTTAATTTACCTTGTTGTAGTAGGGTTGAACTTTTCTTCTTTTTCCACCTCCTTTGTCTGTACTAGGGGATTTTCAATTATGACTGTGATAAAAAAAATTCAAATAACAGCTTACAAGTGGACAGATACATCTACAAACTAGTCCTAAGGTTTGCCATGTAAGCAGAATCTACAGAGTGAATGATTTGAATTACATCCTACTTTTCAATCCAAACAAAATGGTTATTAAAAGAAGATAAAAGAAGTAGGCTGTGCACCACTTCATAACCAAATGCAAAAGTTGCTTTGGCACATCTGGCATACATATCTCCTGCCTGCAACACAGCAACTCCTTAAATCAAGTGTATCTTTTCCCAGGATTTTACACTGCATATGCAGAAGGCAGCTGGCCTATCCTGGAAAGATGCTGTACCTTTAATGATATGCAGATACATGCTATGTTGGTGCTGTATAGTGTCTTTTTACCTTGAAATACAAAATACCGTACAAGGTAAAAAGCAACATGATTAAATTATAGGCTTTTTAATTATACATGCTTTTTAGAAATATTTTAAAATTTAGAAGATTACCAATTACTGTACAACAGTAACCTTGCACAGATTAGACCATTTAAATCAGGAATGGGTGATCTGTGGCTTTTATCTATTCTTCACCCAATAAGGAGCTCCTGCAATGTGGGGCAGCTCTGCCCAAGTTTTTCTTAGGCTCATATCAGCTATTAACTGAGTATTGAAAAAAAATGTTTTTATTAGCAGTATTAGCACAGCAATGTTAATGGAGGTCACTGAAGACGTGAAGAAGACATCTCTGGCTGATCCTTGAACAGCTAAAATTATTCAAGTTGGGGTAAAAAAAATTAATTTCTCATTCCAGTGATTCCAACACAAATAAAATTTGGTAAGGAGAGAGATCTTATCTTCGAACAATTCCATCCTCAAATATCTGCTGACACTTGAGAAAATGGCTTTTCTTTACTTTTTGGATTAAATTTATCTCTCCTGGTTTAATTGTTCAAATGAAAGAGAGAGAAAATAATAAGATTCTATGGAATCAGGCTCAACTCCTGGTGACTGCAGGAACCACATCCATGTAGTTTTCTTGGCCACAACAAGGATGTAATTTGCCATTGGTGCTGTTTGTGATTTTCTAAAAAAATTATTTCACTCTAGCTCTAGCCTATAGCCCTAGGATTCTGTTGTAGAATTCAAGTATTAAGTAGCTCTAGCCTGACTTAGGTTTTTGTGACCAGCTAAGGTAAACTAAACTGTGGAATAGCTTTTATTCGACCATATAGAAAATTAGGAAGAGCTGGCAGTGATCTTAATATACACATAAAATAAATAATCAAAAATGATAACATTAAATTATATTTTAAGCCTCTAGGCTCACATAATAAAACTTCATTAAGAAGCACTGGGGATGTTTTAAAGGCCCACTTATTCTTGTGGAAATAATTAAATGAAATAAAGGTTATGCAATATATAATACCATTTTATTCAAAAATAATTCCCTTTATTTCAATGGAAATTATTAGAGTATTCCCACATTCACTGTAGGAGATGACTTCAATTATTTTTATACTTATGAAACATTTTAGAAGAGTAAAAACATAGTATAATGATCTAAGAAGAAATATGGGAAATTATTTTAAGTTTATATGTCTTCATAACAGCTTCACTAATCAGAATATGTGAATATAACTTCTTTCAGTTAGTCTAACTGAAAAAAATGGTTCCAATTAAATAGTTCCATAATTCCTTGAAGAAAAACACACTAAGAACACACTAAGATCACAACCACATTATATTGATTTAAAGAAGAGAAAAACATATTGAAATATGTTCAGAATAAATTCCAGCTTACCACAATCACCAAGTCTAAAGCTTTCTGAAAGTGATTTAATATAGTCCTCTCTTCCCCAGGAATTCACATTTATGAACCACGATGGGGAATCACGAACAGTAAAACAAAAAATATATCTTTCTGATCCAATATCTGCAGAGAGGAACATATTTAACAAAGCTATTTAAAATGTGAACTTGGTGTGAGACACATAATATAATATTGATGATATTACAAAACTTAAACCATGCTGTGAATGTTTTTCAATGAAACAGTTCTGGGGCCCGACATCTGTACCAGACACTAGTTTGCTTGTGAGAACTGTCAGCACTTCAGTTCCAAATGCCCATTCCCTTATATATAAACATACAGTACATCAGGAAACAGGGAAATTAAGATACAAGCAGCAGCAAAGAAGAAATGCTAGACAGTCACTTGTCTGAGATGGCATAGGTTCTCCTGCTTAAGCGGGGGGCTGGACTAGAAGACCTCCAAGGTCCCTTCCAGCTCTATTCTATTCTATGTACTGTTCTGCAATGAAAATATTGCAGAGCAATCTCATTCATACCACTAGAGGTCATCATAATTTTTCAAGCTTTCTCTGGAATGGGAACAAAAAGTTTAGGAAAAGAAACAAGTGTGAACAAAACGTTTAGGAAAAGAAACAAGTGTGAACTATTGCTTTAGTATTGCATAAAATATTTTGCTTATGTCCATTGCTTCCAAAATAGAGAAAGGCCTAGTGCTATAACTATGGAATAAGCGCCTATCCTTAAAAGTACTGAGAGGCACATCAACAAAAAATAGATATGGGGAAATCTTGTTCCCCCTTCTTATCACCACTTGAATAAAGTAGACTCATAGGGCTGGAAGGGACCTTGGAGGTCTTCTAGTCCAACCCGCCGCCCAAGGCAGGAGACATTATACCATCCCAGACAAATGGTTGTCCAATCTTTTCTTGAGAATCTCCAGCAATGGAGCACTCACAACTCTGATAGGCAAGCTTGAAGGACTCAGGTTGGAAATTAGGAAAGTTTGTTAAAGGAATTGCCGACACAGAAACTTTCGGCTGCGGTGAGTTAACAAATGGTGGGACACTACTGCCTAGCAACAAGAAAGATACAAAGAAGGACATGCTAGAAGGATGCTAGCTAAGGCACGTAGATATATAAACTTTGATAAGCTCTAGCTTATTATAATATTAAAAGACACACCTCTTTGGATAAGAAAGCTTATTGGACAGTTTAGCCTCCGGACTCCTTATCATCTTTGTTGCTCTTCTCTGCACTCTTTCTAGGGCTTTAGCATCTTTTTTGTAACTTGGTAGCCAGAACCGGATGCAGTATTCCAAGTGTGGCCTCACTCGAGTGGTATAAAATATCATTTCTCATGATCTTGTATAGCTTGTGAAATGTATACCTGTGACATGGCTATTGTCACTTCGACATAGTTTGTACAGAAAAGATTGCACCAGATATTTTTTTTAATTAGTCAAGACACTGACAGAAAGATAGAGCCTGGGAAACTGAGATTAAGATATTTAAAAACCACTTTACTTTTTCTGTCCGGAAAGCCTTTGGCATCTGTTTTCCCAATCACCACACCGATTATACTCTAAGAAAAAAAAAAGAGATTGCAGAATATATACATCAAATACAGATGTACAGGATGGATTTGTTTTCACAGACTCTCTATATTCCTTCATTAATTAAAAACATGTTTTTACTATTTTAACAGAAACATTTATTTGACAGAAACATTAATTTATTAACAGAAGTCATTATTGCAATATACAAAAGGATCATGTGTGAGAAATAATAAGGAATATTATTATGAATAATAAGAAATAGTAATATAAGAAACTCATTTTAATGATAGTGAATGAATAACAGAAAGCATGAAGGCACTAATTATGGGAAAAAACTTGTGTCCACTTAATAAAGGCTTGTATTTTTCTGTACATTCCAGGAAGTAATGGTGGGTGGTCCTAATTCTTCACATGTTAAATATAACTCACATTTTATGTTGCCTCCATGAGCTCTCAAGAATGGATTATTTCAAAAACCAACTTCAAGCATGTGTAAATCAACCCCAAAACTATATTTTTCTAAGTAAAAGCACCTTCTAAGAGTGCATAAAATGAACAGATGAATATCCAAATTAGAGGAACAGTATTCCTAGTTTCATTTATAAGTTACAGCTATTCTGAGCTCCAGCTATTTAAACAACCCTTACTTTGTTGTCCAGCTGCAAGACTCATGGAAGTAAATATATGCAGTTGTTACAAATATGTCATAGAAATAAAAAGTTTCAAAAAAATTAAACAATCATTAATTTTATTTCTCTTAATTTCCAGCACTGGTAAGCACAATTAACAAGTATTGAAAACTAGTCTCTTAAATTTCTGTGATCTTTTTAGTCACTAGGTGGGGCAAGAAAACAATTCCTCCATTTATCTGGATGAGTTCATTTAGAGTATCTGTGTAATAAAATATAATTCCCTCAAAGTCTCCAAAAGCTTGCTTTTTAAAACATGTTCTATTAATCTACATTCAAAATGTTTAGTTTCCTACTCACAGTAATTTAATTAGATGGCAACATATCCTGTGCATAATTCTACTGATAATAAAAGAACTGGTTCCTGGAATCCAAAATGTCATTTAATGCCTTAGGACTTACAACAGTATTTACTTCAAAGACTCCTTAAATTTTATCTTTACAAAATTATTTAGTCTCTTTTAACCAAGCAAAATTCCATAATTCAAAATTAAAAGCATGAGATCTATTCCTAAATCTTTTGTATATATCTTTAATTTTGAGTGAATGATTCCCAAATGTGTACAACTGGGATTGTAGCCACACTGTTCAGCTAATCAAGGGGAAAAGAAAAAACTTCTGTGTCCATTTGCCAAACAACTCTTTGTTATTTTTCTTTTCTGTCTTCAAGTAACATTATTTAGAGTATTGGATACAATATTTGCATAATTTAAAGCAGTGATTTAGTGACCCAATTATATATCGTTTCTTTGAAGTAATGCTTTAGAATTTAGTTTTCTGGAGCTAGTTGTTTATTTTTAAGGAAACACATACATTTATACATACCCCTATCTATTTGCTACTAACTTCCTAAAAGATGAATTTCTTAATGCCTGGCATTAAATGAACCAGTTTTTTACAGACTGAAAGCAAGATTTGTTTACCAAGTCAAATGACAAAAAACTAGGTTCTGGCTCAGTCCTTTTTCTAATACTTAATCTCCTCTCGTTGCTGTAAAATAAATAAACCCTTCTGGACAAATATAACTGACCCATGAGTTAATATTTTGGAAATGTTTCTGTGTTCAGTCTGGTAATGAACCAGGCTGGAAACCAGGAAATTGTGAATTCTAGTCCCGCCTTAGGTATGAAAGCCAGCTAGGTGACTTTGTGCTAGTAACTCTCTCTCAGCCAAACCTACTTCATAGGTTTTTTGTTGCAGAAAAAATATGAAAAGAGTATTAGGTATGCTCGCTATTTATAAACATAGTAAAGGTGGGATAAAAATAAAAATTAACTTCATAAAAACGATGGCTGAATAATATATCCTTTAATTTCTGTCAGGAGGAAATTGCTAATCTGATTTTGTGTTAATTCAACAAAGGGTTCTTGCTATGATAGTATGAATACCATTCAAGTCATTTTGGGTGCCGTAAAAAAGGAAGAGTTTAAACAGTCCTCAGACAGGACAATTACTTCCTTTATAAAGAAGCAATTATCTACGTTAACTGTGAGATGGAAATAAGGATGAATTATGCAAAGCAATGGAATTTTGAATTTACAAATAAACCAGGAAAATGGTTGACATATGAGAAAAGAAAAGAAAAATAAAGGAAAATGATACTAAAATTACAAGAAGGAAACATAATAACAGATAATGCAAATATGCAAAAAGTGTTTCACCATTATTATTCTACTTTATATATGAGTCAAGAAATTTATTTGGAAAAAAATCATTATTTATATAAACAGAATTTATCAAAGATTACAGAGAATCAGTAATTTTGAATGTATCTGTAAGAATAAGAGAAGTCTGTAAAATTATTAAAAAGACTAAAATCAGAAAGGCACCTGGTCCAGAGGGTCTGCCAGCTTATTATGTTTTGAAGATTAAATTTTACAATCTTTACAACAAACAGTGAATATTTACATATTTACGTATTCATATGTAAAGAATACCAGGATCTGACTTTAATAAGAAATTACCAACCAATATCTTTATTGAATAATGACTATAAGTTGCTTACAATGATATTGAATGAATGGTTGAAAATAATTTTACAGGACTTTATTCAGGAAGATCAATGTGAATTTTTACCTAAAGGAAAATGAAAAGATAATATTAGAAATGTATTGAATTTTGGATGTATTGGATATTTGGATCAACATAATGAAAAGCAAACTGCACTGATCTTCTTAGATGCAGAGAAGACCTTTGAAGTTTGAATTGAATTTTCTTTAGAGTTCTGGAAGTATGAATAGCCCACACTCCCAAAGATAGGCCTAAGATACAAAAGGATCTTGACAGACTTGAACATTGGGCGCTATGTAACAAATTGAAATTCAGTGATGAAAAAAGTCAGGTTCTACATTTAGGCAAGAAAATCCAAATGCACAGGTATAGTATAGTAGTAACTGTGAGAGGGATCTCGGAGTCCTAGTGGACAATCACTTAAATATGAGCCAGCAATGTGCTGCAGCAGCCAAAAAAGTAATATACTCCTTGGTTGCATAAACAGAGGCATAGAATCAAAATTATGTGAAGTGTTAATACCACTTTACAACGCCTTGGTAAGGCCACACTTGGAATACTGCATCCAGTTTTGGTCACCATGATGTAAAAAAGATGTTGAGACTCTAGAAAGAGTACAGAGAAGAGCAACAAAGATGATTAGGGGACTGGAGGCTAAAACATATAAAGAATGGTTGCTGGAACTGGGTATGTCTAGTTTAATGAAAAGAAGGACTAGGTGTAACATGAGAGCAGTGTTCCAGTATTTGAAGGGCTGCTACAAAGAAGAGGGAGTCAAGCTATTCTCCAAAGCACCTGAAGGCAGGACAAGAAGCAACGGATGGAAACTAATCAAAGAGAGAAGCAACCTAGAACTAAGGAGAAATTTCCTGACAGTTAGAACAATTAATCAGTGGAACAACCTGACTCCAGAAGTTGTGAATGCTCCAACAGTGGCATTTTTAAAGAAGAGACTGGACAACCATTTGTCTGAAATGGTATAGGTTCTCCTGCTTGAGCAGGGGACTGGACTAGAACACCTCCAAGGTCCCTTCCAGCTTCTATTCTATTCTATTCTATTCTATTCTATTCTATTCTATTCTATTCTATTCTATTCTCTCAATATATGATTATTGCAACAAGACTATTATATGCACACATATGGAAAGATTTGACATTCCCCACTATGGAGGATTGGTAAAATTGACGAAACTTGCTGAGGTGGTTAAACTGACTGATTAGAGAAAGGTCATTACTGACATTCACTAGTCTAAAATGGCATAGAAATTTTTTTGATGTTGTGAAACTCAGACACATTCAGCCATTTTATAATTTATATCAAGTATGCGTGGTGTGAACCTGGCAATTGCACTTTTATTAACCAAAGATGGGAGTTAAGCATGGAGGGCATCCTTTCATAAAACTCCATAATTTAACTTAGTCCAATCATCCTAGTTGATTGTAATATCCTTTCTCTTTTGCCAAAGAGATACCAGTTTTCATTTTCTGAGACACAGGAATATTTTGTCTTTAATAATTCTGCCAATGCTATGAGCCCAAGAAGATAAACCTATTACATAATGTTATCAGAGAATACACTTATACACAATTTCATCGGAGAACAAAATATTGTTATGGTACTAAGACCTACAGGATGAGCAAGGCTTGGGTGCAGATCTGAAATGGCTACAATATTTGCTGGAATGGAATACGCCATTCTTTCTACCTGAAATTGGAGAAAGATAAATCAGAACATCCTTTTAAAAACAGATTCACTTATTTATATTATTTAATGTATTATGTATTCATAAAACCATTTTAGGAACAATGCCTGACATAGATAGATATTAAAATTATATATATGGAACTGCATGGGCTGAGGAAAAAAACACAATTCAGGCTCCTAATAAAAGGATTTATAGTTGGATTTACCCATTTTGTAAGTCATGAATTGCTTTAATCATGGGTTGTTGACGAAGACATAGTGAGCTAACCCATAATATGACTTACTTCATTTTTGAATTAGCATATTTACATGAACCTGGCTGTTGTGATTTGTACTATCATGATGTGTGGCTTTGCATAACAGTTGAAGCAAACTATTTACATGGCTCAAACAACAGTTTGACATATTTGAATCAATTCACAGTCACACAAACCATGGTTTACACATCATACTCATGGGAAGTTTAGGCAACACATTGTGTGAAGAGCAAATTACTTAGTACAACTGTCACTGTTAAAAAATAGAAAAATGTGTGGTATATATTTGAAATATATTTTTAATGCAGTTGTGTTTTAATCTTGTGCTTTGAATAAGAAATCTCTTGGGGAGTGAGGTAAATTCCTCACAGGAACAAAACCATTTGAATTATATTGATTTAATTTTTTTTTATTGCAGCAGCTTTATTGCCACACTTTGTAGTTTGATTCTTGTACTGTTGTCTTTTGGTTTGGCATAAACAAATATACAAATGGTGTGCCAATCGCTAGAAAGTTGATTGTTATTGTGGTTTGGGTAGCTTTTAAATTCTTTCTATTTGTAGGCTACTCAGAACCTTTTGAAAATTGATCAGTATGGGGAAAAATCTGCATAATAAAAGAGTCATCTTTGTAAAACAAAATTGTGGGGCTTTATGAAGAAACCCCAGCAGAAATACTATGACTCAAATATCGTAAATGTAAAATGGCCAGTGTGGCAAGAGTGTGGGGCAGCTGCATGTTTTATTACTTTATTTTCTTCTTTTAGGCCCCCAAGGGTTAAGGACTAGAGCACCCAGAATCCCCAGCCTGCATGGCCAAGGACAGATGGGAATTTGGGGGATTGTCTCCCCAGCACATTTGGCTGACAAGAAGGCTGGAAAGGAGGCCACAAGCCACCATTGGC